GCCCGGCCCCGGGCCCGGCCCCCGGCCCGCCCGCTCGCTCCGCGGGGGAGGAGCGGCAGAAGCGGCGGCGCCGTGCGGGGCCCGGCAAGGACGCGGCAAGGGCGGCCATGGGCAGCTCCAAACCGCTGTCCCGCTTCTGGGAGTGGGGTAGGAACATCGTGTGCGTGGGGCGAAACTACGCGGAGCACGCCAAGGAGATGGGCAGCGCCCTGCCCGCCGAGCCGCTCTTCTTCCTCAAGCCTTCCTCGGCCTACGTGCGGGAGGGGTCCCCCATCGTGCGGCCCTACTACTGCCGGAACCTGCACCACGAGGTGGAGCTGGGGGTGGTCATCGGCCGGAGGGCGCGGGCCGTGCCGCGGGACGCGGCCATGGAGCACGTGGCGGGCTATGCCCTGTGCCTGGACATGACGGCCCGCGACACGCAGGAGGAGTGCAAGAAGAAGGGGCTGCCCTGGACCTTGGCCAAAGGGTTCGGCTCGTCCTGCCCCGTCAGTGACTTCGTGCCCAAGGAGAAGATCCCGGACCCGCACAAGCTGCAGATCTGGCTGAAGGTGAACGGGAAGCTGAGGCAGGAGGGGGACACCTCCTCCATGATCTTCTCCATCCCTTACCTGATCAGCTACATCAGCCACGTTTTCACCTTGGAAGAAGGGGACTTGATTCTCACGGGGTCTCCCAAAGGAGTGGGGTCCGTGGAGGCCAACGATGAGATCGAGGCGGGGATCAGGGATGTGGTGTCCGTGAGGTTCAAGGTGGCACAGGGCACGGAACCCAGGAACCCAAAAGGTGTTTGACTGCCACAGCCCCGTTTCCATGGAGGCTGCAGCACACCTGGACTCCAGCCCAGCAGCTCCAGATTCCAGAATTTAATTCCAAAACCATACCTGGGAACTGGCAATGGAGACACTGGAGAGGGGAATGGGCCTGGCTGTCCTGCTGTGTGTGCTTCTCTTCTGCTGATGCTTTGAGCATAGCCTTAAAATAAAAATTACTGATCAAAACAATTCAAATGATGATGTAGGAGCTAAGGCTCAGCCGTGCTGTGGAGAATCAAAGGTTTATGTGTAGATGTGGAACCCTAAATCAAGAACTGCAGCTTCACAAAGTTTCTTCTACAAGAGAAAGATGTTTGATTTTTTGGATTAGTTTTGTGATTCCTCCCTGCTTTTTTCAAACACACAAATTAAAGAAGGATGGCTTTTCTTCCCACTCCAGGGGGCAGAGGCACCAGGAAGTGTGCCAGATGTTTGGCAGATCTGTTTTTTTCCTAAACTGAGCTTGAAATATGTTCTAAAAGTGAAATAATGCAAAATGATCAAGAATAAAGAAGCATATGGGTAAAGATCACCACCAAACTTTTCTTTTGACTGATTTCAATGTATTTTTAGTAAAACTGTGACTGCAGCAGTTGCTGTTACCCAGTGCAGTGCAGCAGTTGGAGTTTTAAGTGTTTCCAGCTGCTAAAAGCCACACTGGGTAACTTTCCCCAGTTCCCAGCTGCAGCTGTTCCAGCACTCCCCACCGGTTTGCATGACAGCGAGTTCTCTTTCAATTCAACAGAGCAAGTTGTAAAATGTAATTTAAAAAATCCTCCCCATGCAAACATCAAAACCTAGATTTTTCAAAGGTTGCACAGAACTGGTTCATTTCTAACAAAAACAGATGGATTTGGGTTTTTGTTTTACATAAATGCAAAGCACCAAAGCTAAACGCTTCCATTTGTCAGAGCCAGATCTTAAAAACTGCTAGGAAAAGCTTTGCTTTTAAAAGTGGGGAGTTTACAGAAAAATCCTGTCTCCCAAAGAGAAGCAGCTCTGTGAGAGCAGCACAGTCCAGAGTGCTGCACACCACAATGGGAGAAGAAATTGAAGAATTCCTTTAGAATTTCTCCAGAATTAAAACAGCCATGAGGGTGAAGAGTTCTGGAAGAGGAAGGATGGAATTAAGTGTCTGTACTGTTTGCATTTCCTCCTGCCTGTCCAACATTCCCATCTCTGGCAACAGCAGCAGGGCATCATTTGCAGTTTGGTCTCCAGCCCTGGGTATTGACAGAGTTGGGATTAAGTTACTGGAAACATTCCCTTCAGAATGGGAATTGTTATGGCTGGGAAATGTTGAATTGTTTATTGCCACAAGAGGGACGACCCAACGCTGGCAGCATTTTTGGGGTCTTTATTGCCACCCTTGAGCCAGGGATGCACTCTGGGATTGCTTGTCAGGATTTCCTGTTTCTGTGGGGTTTTCTCTGTGCCATGTTGTTTTAAGGGGTGGGGAGGCACCGGGGGGATCAGAGTTCCCCAGAGTGTCCTGGCTAAAACCCTTTGCCAGAGCAGGGCTGGGGGATCTGTCTCTGTTGGAAACAGCTGAGTCCCAGCGTGCTCAGGAGGTGAGGATGGGACAAATACACCAGCAGGAGGGAAGCTGTGGACAGAAATATATTAAAAACAGGGAACAAAATACATGGAGGAAGGGACAACATACATACCTGGGTTCTTTAAATCCAGCTTTGGTGAACAGAGTCCTGCTTACAGCCTCAGCTTGATTTTTGCTTGTCAGAGGTCACTGCTAATTGATTGCTCTAATTAGACTTAGTCTGCCCAAAGAGAATCAGCCCTGCTCTTGCCCACAGCTCCATGTTTGGCCTCAGCAAGGTGCAGCACAAACCCAGGCAGTGTTTCAGGAGGGGGTCTTTATTTCTTTAACACAAAAGCAGCAAAGCAGTTAAAACCACAGAAGTTCAACAAATCTCATTTAACCTATTTGTTATTTCTGATTTTTTCAAATAGCTGAGTGAGGAAATCTTCCAGCACCCTTAAAAGGGGTTGAATTTGGTAGAATTAACATTTAAGCTTAGGCCCAAGTACACTTTTTAAAGTACAATCACCCAAAAATATGAATTGAGAAGCCCACTTAGGGGTATTGTCACATGCACCTCCCTCCTTTACCATCAGAACAGACTTGGCAAAACCCAACAACAGCAGAATTCCATTTGTAACAACAGAGTGAAGGAAGCCTTTCCTGGCATTTATAAATAATTCCAGTCTCTTCCCAAGCAGCTCTGACTGGCCTCTATGGGATCTGCCAGTTTGCAGGAAAGAAGATTCACTTTTAGTCCAGTTCTCCAATTGGGTGATGAAGTAACCTGGAAAAATAATTAAGGATCTTTGTTATCACAGCACCTTGACAGATTATTTTCAGCTGTTACACAGCACATTTGACAGATTTATTTGCATTATTTCCTGTGTGAGTACACAGTTATGCCATCTGCCTGTCACTGCTGAAGTCAAACACTTTCATTTTGTCCTGGAAATAGGGACAGAGAAAGGGGAGATGGGACAGTAAGAAGAGTTTTGCCCCAAAGGACAAGTTTAAAAGTGAAAACCAGCTCCTGTTTTGAATGAAACATTAAATACTAACCTTGAAGTAAATCTTGCTTCGTTCCAAGAGGAGTTGCCATTTCAGTGCAGTCTTCTGCTCTTCTTCCAGCATGAGGAATTCAGGGACCTGTTAACAGGACACCACAGAGCACTTCAGCAGGTAGCTAAAACATCTCCACAACGAATGATGATGAACATCTTACAAATTTTTATACATTTCTAGGCTGTATTTTTCTGTTTTAATGTGGTGCTTGGTATGAGAAGTGTTCTGCTCTTCTTCCAGCATGAGGAATTCAGGGACCTGTTAACAGGACACCACAGAGCACTTCAGCAGGTAGCTAAAACATCTCCACAACAAATTATGATGAAAAGAACATCTTACAAATTTTTAGGCTGTATTTTTCTGTTTTAATGTAGTGCTTGGTATGAGATGTATACCAAGACAGTCACACTAACCAGATAAACTGCAGGGTGTTTGGAAATCAGAGGTAGGGATTTCCATGTTCTCAGAAAAGCAATGCTCTGAACTGGGTTCAGTCTTACACTGAACACAATTCCTGTTGGCATCTGCTGACTTCCAACTTCTGCCAAGCTCTGTGTGTCCATCCATCATCCATCCATCCATCCATCCATCCATCCATCCATCCATCCATCCATCCATCCCCATGATATTTTTAAGAAAATCCTTTGCTAGGATTTTTCTCCTGTTCTAGCTGAGAAGCCTCAGAAAAGAAATGTAAACAATTAACTATCTGGTGGCAGTGGAATGTGGTCTGGACATTGTTTACCAACAGGTGCATCTTCCATTGCTCCATGTGGATTGTTTTCATTTGATGACCAGTCACAGCCACCTGTATCGAGGCTGTGAGCAGTGACAAGATTTTGGTTATTCATTCCTTTCTTTTCCTTTCCAGCCCTCTGAAGGATCCTTTTCTTTCTATTCTTTTTAGTATAGTTTTAGCACAGCATTTTAGTATAATATCATAATAAATCAGCCTTCTGAAACATGGAGTCAAGATTCTCATCTCTTCCCTCATCCTGGGACCCTCGAACACAACCATACCCATCCATGCCATTTTTGTCACTCTTGCACCCAGCACACACACAGAACATTTTCGGGTGTTTGTAACTCAGCAGAGCTGAGCTCAGCAGGAGCAGCCCAAGCCCCCCTTACTGTGCAGCCCAGGGTGTCCTCAGCCACACAGTCAGCCAGGTAGCAGGAGCGCAGGGTGCCTGTGTGGTCTGTCACATCCACCAGGATGTCAAAGCTGGCAAAGGTGGACTTGGCCTCTGGAGAGACGTCACTGCAGAAGGTGCAGGTGTTTGAGGCCTCATTCACGATGAACCTGCAGACTGAGCTGAAACACAAGCAGAGAATTCCTGCAGATATGCAATTTGTTCTTCCTGGAACATTTTTCTAGACTGAGATTTCCCAAGAGACTTAAAAAAATTGTTCATCTCCTAAACTCTTGAGTCCATCTGAGACAAAGTGACCTTTTCTTTTTCACTCCAGGAGCACAAAGAGCCCTCAACAAAACCCCACATGGCATCCTCCAGAAGAGTTTTATTTCTTCTCTGGGATGGGACTAAAATATTGCTCCATGTCATTTGGTCTGGGTAAGAGGGACAAGCAGTTTTAGCACGCTCCAAGCAGGCAGTTGCTCACCATCTGTTGCGCAGCACTCTGGACACGCTCTCGTCGATGTCCAGGGTGGAAATGTAGCCATAAATAATTCCATGGAGAGGCTCCAGCTTCCCATCACTCTGGAGAGCTTTTTCTTTCAGCTGTTCCACTGTGTAGACATCCACTACAGCCTCCACTACAAGTTTAAAAGACAAGTTAAGTGTGTCTGAGCCAGAAATTATTCGAAGAGCAATGGCAAAAGTGGATGTTAAGGCAATAAAAAGGAGATTTAAAGCAGCAGTAAAGCCTCCCCTCAAAAAAAAAAAAAAAAAAAAAAAAAAAGTAAAAGGGACTCAGATCAGGAATATATCTATTATTTAATCTTTGTATCCTCCAAAATGAGTTTTTGGCAAAAGTTTTCCCCCTCACTTCTCCAAACTGGTTGCAGACAGAAGGAACCCACCAGACAGGCTGCAGCTGGCACAGTCAGCTGAAGATACCCAAAGACAAAATAAGGGACAGCCCCAAGAAACCATCCAAACTTCACCCACCCAGCCAGGCTGGACTTTTGTTTCTGTGAACACACAGAGCAGGAATTCTTGCAGCTGCACTGTGAAATGACACTGTGCAGGTAAATAAAATCAAACACTTACAGTTAATGGTTTCATTTGGCAGCTCCTTCACGGGGCTGGGCAGAGCTCCTGCCTGGGCACTCTCTTTGATGAAGCTGAAGAGAACATTTGCTTCTGCTGTTTCTGAAGAACAGTAAAGTTATCACTATATGTTGCATGTCAAAGTCACTGCATTTTTACATTTCACAAGTTTTTATTCTGGTAGTACAAACACGTTGGAATTAGCCAAGATTTGCTTTTCTCTTTTTTATTTTAACTGTTAATCCTGCATGGAATAAACATATGAAGGTTGCTAACAATAAATAAAATAAAATAAAATAAAATAAAATAAAATAAAATAAAATAAAATAAAAGTAGAAGCCAAAGGCACTGGTCATCACATAGCAGACAAAAAGCAGGGAGCTTTGTGAGAAGCAGGCAGAAGAAATCACAGTTCCAATAGATTAATTAATGCATTCTAGCCTAGAATAATTATTAATGGCAAAGAAATACTTGAGCAGCTCTTACCTGGGTTCGTTGTAATGATGGTTTTGGATATCACAGTTGCAGTCATGCAGTTCCTAAATTTGTCAAAATTGATTCTCACATCTGATGCAAATATAACTGTGCAGAAAAACACCCCCATGTTACTGGAGAATAAATGCCACATGAAGAACTTGAATAAAACCATAAACCAGACTGGTTTACCTGTTTCTTGGGGGATCCAACTCTGTGCCAGCTGGATGGATTCGTTATCCCAGCTAAATTAAACAAAACATTTTTGAAACAGCACCCAAAGTGTTTAGTACTAAACTAGTAAATAACATGGCTGTAATAAAATTGGCCAAAGGGGACACGACTCCTTTGTGACACACGTGGCACTGAAATTCCTTGTGCCTGCTTTATCCCAAACAGGATAACATAAAGATGGGCCTAAATGCAGAATATACCTGGGAAAATGCTGTATTTCAGCTTTTATCCAAGTCATTTCTAGCTAAGCAAATCCCAGCTGAAGGAGCTGTTTGTGCTGGGCCAGGCTGATTGCTCAGATCCCCAGGCCAGATGTTCAACACTGGGATCTTTGTGGCTGGGGATGATGAGACTGGAGTGAGGTCAGAAACATCCCTCAAAAATGGTAATTTCATGGTCTCTTGATAAAATCTCATTCAGCTCCTCCTAAATTTGACTGGCAAGAGCACAGCCAAAGCACAGATTTGTTCTGGTGGGTTTTCTCCTTAATCCTTGGAAAAAGATTTAAGATATTTCCTTTTCATCTGATATTTCCCAGGCACCTCTTCCCTGCTGGGCTCTGAAATCCCCTGACAGTGCCCAAGTCCCAGCACTGAGAGAGCTGATGGAGGAGTTAATTTCCAAATTAACCCTGGGCTGGAAGGGTTCACCCCAGAGCTGCTTCTCTTGGTTTTGTGGCTGTGAGTTGTGTTAAACATCCCTGGAGGTAACACAGCTCCCAGCCCACGGTGCAGGGCTGGCTGCCTGCTTCCCCTGAGGGAACAAAGGTCACTGAAGTAATTTTTAATCACCAAACAGCGACCCCAGGGCAAGGGAACACCCACACCCCCACATGCCCCTGCACTTGGAAAAGCCACAAGTTTATTGAACAAACTGGGGGCAAAATGCAAAGGTTCCCCTGTTCACAGCAGGGATGGGCTGGGTGGAGTTGTGTTTGTAACCAGGACAGAGTTTGAAAACACAGCCAGAGTCGCATCAAAATGTTTCTGCGTTATTTTAAATATTTCAAAACTATTTTAACCTGTTTCCACTCCACTTGCAATTCTGCTTGGTTTTAAAAATGGATCATGCTCTTCATTTTCCTGCCCTGCTGCTTGTGGAAGAGACACAACAGCCTTTGCAGCTGGTTTTAAAAGTCATTTCCTGAATTAGCTCAAATGTCCACATTAAAAAAAAAAAAAAGAAATTATTTGGAACTGAGCTTCATTTTGCCATCCATGAGCCAGCAGGCTGTCAGCAAGCCATAAAACTACACAAGATATATAAGGCCACTCTAATGAATCTCTTCTCAAAGTCTCTTTTCTGTGTACATTGCTGCCTCATCTCAGTTGCCTCCTAAATAACAATATATTTAAATTAAAAGATGGGTTTATAGTTAATTAGTGTGTGTTATAGCTAATTTCTTCACCCATGTTTGCATTATTTTTTAGTGAATTAAAGAACATTTAAAGAATTAAAGAACATTTTACCATACTATTGGGAAAGACCTCTCTGTTTCATCATACAGCTTTACTTCACACCTCTGGCCTTTCCTTTTGTCTGAAGTTATAAAATACTTTGGCTCCCCAACCTTGAAGAAGAAAAAGAAGTCACTTGTCCTCTATTCAGTGTTTAGGAGAATAAAATTCATAACCTAGAAACGGTTAGAAAAGGGAAGAAAGATACTATAGACTACTAAAAATGGGATCAATTAATTTCCCCTTCATTTTGTTGATAAAAAAACCTCATCAAAGGGTGTGTGTGGTTATTGTCACTCAGCTGCCAAGCTGAACAAATGCAGTCCTGGCCACTGTGAGGCTCAAAATCCACATTGACACAGATTTACAATGAAGTTACTCGTGGCAGGGCACAGAAATGCTCCTCACTCAGTGCCACCACAGCCCAAAATCCACATTTTTACACAGATTACAATGAAGTTACTCGTGGCAGGGCACAGAAATGCTCCTCACTCACTGCCATCACAGCTGCCAGCACATTGAGGACTCTCCCATGGAGGCTTTGTCCATTTGCCACGATGTCCCCCAGGGAATAATAATCCTGAGGGTCCTTGACAGGCAGGTGCAGCAGGGCCAGGAGCCTGGTGTCTGTGTCGTAGCAGGAAGAGGTTTTAACCACAGAGTGATTTTCACTGAGCAATAATTTGTAGCCACTAGAACAGAACAAATCCCATGGATCAGCACTGCACTCACTGAGGTTTCAACATTATAAAATGTTAATTCATATGAAAAACAACTTTATTCCATTATAGTTTTTCCTAAAGGTACAAAAATTCTTGTAGATTTTACTCAAATAATGAAATTTACTCTGTTTAGCAACAAAGAACATGATTGCTTTATGACCTTCTATTTATTAAATATATTCTCCTTTGAGATTTGACCAGACATTGTTGAGCACAGGAAGAAGGTACAGCTACACAGGAAGAAAACACCAAAAATTTCTACCAATTTACTGTGGCTGGAAATTAAAGCAAGTCTTAACTTTGATCTTTCTAGAATGAACTACCACTCCGTGCTTTAAATTTACCTAGGAGTTACAGGGTTGAATTTTTCTTCTCTTTCTGCTTCCTTGGACTGAATTAAAGGATTTTCAATTGTAACTAGAATAAAGCATTGATAGGTAATGTTAGAAATTGATTATAGGTCCAATTATAGATATTTTTGTGTGTACACTCTGTAAGCTCACAAGTTTTACCCAAACAACCCCAGGTAGCAAAATCTTTCTATGAACTTAAAAAGATAAAAGTGCATCCTGTAAATAAATACAGGATTTTTGTTGTGGTTTTATCAGCAATCATAGTCATATCTGTAACTGAGGGAAGACAAACAGCAAACAGCTTTACAGCTTATTTTTCATCATGTTAAAGACCTCAATATAATGTAAAATTTGACATTGATTAACTGCAGGCCAGCTCTGAGCTGCTGCACTCAGTGGGTTCCTTTGTTGACATATTTACTGGGCTTCAGCTGAAATCCTTGGAATCTTGTTCCTTTCCTCTTTGTATTGAACAGAACTGAACAATTTGTTTCCAATTAGGCTGTTTGTGAGTCCTCAGAGCAAAACACAGCAAAGCCACCAGCACAACCCTGATTGCCATGCAAACAGAAACGTGGTGGGAACAAATAAATTAAAATGAACTCACCACAGTCACCAACCCTGAAGCTTTCTGAGAGGGATCTGATGTACTCTTCTCTGCCCCAGGACTGGACATTAATGAAGTAAGTTGGGGAATCACGAATGGTAAAATTGAAGGTGTATCTTTCAGTGCCAATGTCTGCAAAAATAAACAGGGCTGCAGCAATTCCTCAGCACAGCTTGATTTCTAACTAGAATATGTGTATAAAAACTACTATTTTGGGGTTTTCCCGGATTTTAGTGGGAATTTTCTCCCACTAGAGGCCAGCAGGTGGTGCAGGAACACGGTGGTGGTTGGGAATGGGCTGCAGTTCCTGCTGTGATCAAACTTCAGATGAAACAGGGAGAGGTGCAGGAGGTGACAGCAGGGCTGTCACACGGGGAGGGCTCATTTGTACACGCAGCCCCAGTTCTGCAGCAGCTGATGGCCCAGGCTGCAGGGTCACTGCCAGGGGGTCCAACTGAATAAAGCAAAGTGTTTCCAGTGCTATGGAAAATCCAGGATATTGGTGTCTGCATCCCTGCCCTGTCTCATACAGGGAACTAAAAAAGCTTTCCAGGATCACAGCATGATGCAGTGGATTACTAAATTACCCAGGAAAACTCGAGTGATCCCCCAGTGCCCTGAGTGCAGGCCCATGGAGCACACACACCAACACCCTGTCTGTGGGCTCTGCACTAGGTGACACCAGTTTCAGGTGACAATGATGACTTTCCCCTAAAACCTCTCCCGTCCAGCAGCTCAGCAGGAACCAGTGGCAGCAGAAAAACTGAGCCCTTCTCCTGGAGCTGGAATGGCTCTCCAGGGCTGGAGGTGCTTCCTGGCAGTGTCTGCACCAACCCCGACTGTAAATTTGTTGTTTCAATTTCCAATTAACATTATTAACAACATACAATTCCGATTTTGTCTCAGATGAAGCTGCTGCTAACTCAGGCCAGAAATTACTTGTGTCACTCCACAGGACATGTCCTCAACATTTCTGTTTTAAGAGAGAACAAATATGAAGGCACCAGCTCCATCCCAGCAGTATTTGTGGAAGAGTGGGTTCATATTGGTTCCATCTTCAGAGCATGAAACACTTCCATGACAGAGTTTTTCCAATTTCTAATTGATACGGCTCAGCCAAACCGATGCTTCTCTTTCATCTTGCTTCTCAAACAGACACCATTTTTTTGGGTGCATTTTTATTCTATCCATTTTATACTGAGAAATCTGTTTATCATTTAAATCTTGATTTCAGTCATCTCTGCCAAATTACACCGTTGAAGAAAATGAAGTAAAAAGAGTTTAAAGGGACTGTACTTTTTCGGTCTGGAAAGCTTCTGACATCTGTTTTCCCAATAACCACCCCGATTACATTCTGAAAAATAAAAAGATTATACAGTACAAGTATTAAACCCAGATGTAGATGATGAATTAGATTTCATGGAATTATACTCTGCTGATGATAATAAACATATTTCTGGCTGGTAATCATTTTAATCTATTTATTCCACAGTACCGTTATGAGCTAAAGAGTAAAACAAACACACAAGTTTACTTTAGGAAAAAATTGTGACTAATAAAAGTATTAAAAGAAATGCATCTGTTTCTGTTTGTGAAGAAAATGGGAGGACAAAAGTTCACCCCAAACCTTCACAATTTTGGCTGTTCTACAGCAATCTCTCCTCAGGTAGGCAGCAATGTTGTTATTTCATGCTCTCTGCACAGGTCTCAGATCTCCTCAAATGCTCCATGGAAAGCCTGGGTAGGATTTATTGTACAGTGAAGTGTCCAAGGTTTCCTGGCTCTCAGCCACAGTGTGCACCTACAGGAGCTTGTCCTGGCCTCAGCCAAGCAGCCTAAATTCCTACAGGTGCCTCTCTCTTGCTATCTTTCAACTGACTCCAAGGGAGCTGAGGCAAGCAGCTTTTCTCTTGATTCAGACCAAAATCAATGTTATTCTGCTTTGCTAAACCTGTGCCCATTATGTAAAAACATCCTGTTCTCAATTGTCAAACACAACTACTGGGAGCAAACACACACATGTAGATATAGATATCTATCTATAATATAACAGCTGTGTGCTGGGTTCTTGCTGTGTTTCAGGTGGTCCTTGGTGTCAGACAAGAGTTTTGCAGTGCTGGTTTGGGATTTCAGAGGTCAGCAAGGAAAGTCAGAGTGGGATGAGGGCTGGAAGAACAGACTGACAGTGCAATACTGCCAGGATCCTTCAAAACATGAAGCATCCCACCTCAACTCCACTTCACAGAATCCTGGAATGGTTTGGGTTGGAGGGACCTTAAAGCCCACCCAGTGCCACTCCTGACGTGGCAGGGACACCTCCCACTGTCCCAGGCTGCTCCAAGCCCGGTCCAGCCTGGCCTGGGACACTGCCAGGGATCCAGGGGCAGCCACAGCTCCTTCACACGAGCCCTTCTGACAGTCTGGGACACTGCCATCCAGCAGAATTCCCATTCCAGCAGAATTCCAGAGGCAGCTGGAATGGGACAGTCATTCCAGCAGAATTCCCATTCCAGCAGAATTCCAGAGGCAGCTGGCAAGGGCAGGGCTGCAGTTCAATAACCAGCCAGGATTCCTTTTGTACATATTCCCAAAGCAGCGTGACCTGCCTGACTTCACTGCAGCCATATCGACAGCAGCTCAAAAAGCAGCTCTGCGGTTTCCTGGGGATCACTAGAGGGAGCACGGGACCTGCCTTATCCTGCAGGGATGGGCACACTCAGGAAGAGGCCACTTGTGTACAGCACTGTCATATCCCCCTTCCACACTGAATGCTTCATGTCCACTGCATGCAGTGAGTCTGATTAGCATTTTGTTTTTCTATTTTGGGTTTTGTTCCTTAATTTAGAAAAAAAAAAAAATCATCTATTAAATAAGAGTGCAGCATTCCCCTTATATCACCACCAAATGTCAAAAGAGCTGACATTTAGGATGAGTGCCTGCAGAAACTAGGCTGATTGTGCCTAATTTCTGGTGTAAATATCCCATTTCCCAAAGAATTCTGCCCTGGCCCTGCTATAAATGTGTTCACCTCTGTGTCTCCAACCCTGAGCTTGCACAGAGAGCTGGCAGAAGGAATTGATCTGGCTGGAAACTATTTTGGACTGAGGAAGGGAGAAAAACTTCCAGAGATCATTTCCTTGATCAGCTCATTGTGCAACTGCCCAAGCACTCATTTCCCAAAAGAGGAGGGGAACACCCCCCCATGGTGCCTGTTTTGGCAAAGCTCTGCTTGAGGCTGCTCAACCAACTCATGAACATGCTGCAAGCGTTTACACTTGAATCTCTTTCACTTTTTAAAATAAACAGCAAACTCATAAACCGTGCCATTTTGATACTTCAAACTGTGTGTTCAGCTGTTTTAACGGCCTAAAACAACACACACTGATCATTCTATCATAAGTTATTTTATAAAAATCCTTTTGTTGCCGTGCGTTGCTAACTGCAATACTCAAGATTAGTTTTATTTGTAAAACAAAAGCTTTTATTTGTAAAATAAAGGCTTTTAACTGGATCATTATTTGGGAGGAACTGTGAATGACAGGCTAGATTAGCATTGCTGAAGATCAGTTTGGATCAATATGGCTCTAAGGAGATAGAAAACTGCTCTTAGATCATCCCTTTTCTGTGATTCCTCTTTCATTTGTTTAAAGTAAATGAGAAAATAAATTGTGCCGTCCCAAATAAAAAGTGGTGCGAATGGGAAAACTCCATGTTTTCACTCTTTCCAGGAACATCAGGACTTCCTGGGGCAGGGGAGGGGACATTCTGCCTCTACTCAGGTGAGACACCCTGGGGTCCCAGCACAGGAAGGACAAAGAGCTGTTGGGGTGAGTCCAGAAGAGGCTCCAGGATGACTGGAAAAGCTGAAAGAATTGGGATTGCTCATCCTGGAAAAGAGAAGCTTTGGGGTCACCTAACTGTGGCCTTCCAGGGGCTGAAGGAGCTGACAAGAACCATGAGAGAGACTCTTTACAAAGGATGAGTGACAGGACAAGGGGCAATGGCTCCAAAGAGAGAGTGGGCTTAGGATACTGGGGAGAAATCCTTCCCTGGCAGGGTGGGCAGGCCCTGGCACAGGTGCCCAGAGCAGCTGTGGCTGCCCCTGGATCCCTGGCAGTGCCCAAAGCCAGGCTGGGCTCGGAGCAGCCTGGCACAGTGGGAGGTGTCCCTGCCATGGCAGGGGTGGCACTGGGTGGGCTTTAGGCTCCTTTCCAACCCCAACCAACCTGTGATCCTATGCAAACCCGTTTTTTTAACCCCAAAGAAACAGAACCAACCATGGAACTGTGAGATTTTTACCCTGCCTTCCCAGCGTGCCGTGAGAGACTGCTGAGGTCCCAGATGATTGTGGCTGCATAATGCTGACTCTGTCATGTCTTTAATAATGTCTTCACTAATTCAGCATCCATTTAAAGTGCTACAAAGGAGCCTCTGATACATGGAATTGCCCGGTCAATATCTGTGCCTGTGGTACCCACGGGCTGTGGACAACAACAGCATCAATTTTCATTTTGCTGCTTTGCACACAAAGAAGGGAAGGTCCTTTCTACCCAACGATTGCACTAATGCTATCAGTACCTAAATACACATCAATTACATAATTTTGCAGTAATGTAAGACAGTCAGATACAATTTCATCTGGGAACAAAAGGCTGTGAGACTTACAGGACGAGCAAGGTTTGGATGCAGATCTGAAAGTGCAACAAAGTCCCGTGCTGAACGAGAATGAGCCATTCTTTATCTGAAACTGGAGGAAACTGACTTAGAGTTTGTAAAAATCCAAACAAATCACTTAAGGCCATTCACAGTGAGAATAACAAGTTATTTTTTAACGTAAATGTTTTGACCTAATGGCATCTGTTTTCAATAAGAGGCATTTCAAGCCATCTGAAGTAGACAATTCTTTATTGTTTGGATTTGGCGATGGAAGTTATGAATTTTACTGTGACAGCTCTACCTAAGCTTCTCAAATAAAGGCCTGTAATTTTTATTTATTATTCATCATTAAATGGCTCCATTAGCACCAGGCTCTGAAAAATATTTACCCTCCTTCTCTCTGGGAAGCCCAACTGAATTAATGAGGCAGCTCATATTTAAAAGGCAATTTATATGTGAGGAACGAGAAGTGTTGGGTTGCAAAGCACCTTTAATTGAGGTTTTGGACTAAATATTAAGCTACTTTAAAATGTGAGTTTATGCCCTTCTCAAAATAGAAAAGTTGTGAATTTATTAAAATAAAATTTATAAAACCCAGTTTTTTTCAGGCTGCCAACATGGCATTTACTGCCCAGCCCTGGGAGCACCCATTTCTCTCCAGAAATGCTGAAGTGGGGCCATGGGTGCTTTTTTAGACCCTCTGAATACCTCATTATTTCATGGGTTCCTCAGAGACATTTAGATACTTAACAAATGGTTGTCAGAATCTGGTTTTTGTTGTAAAAGGACCCGTGGCATTGTCCAAATCTTAATAACCTTTAATAGGAGAGAACTGCTGACATTTTTCAGAGGATGCCTGTACAATCTTTAGAACAAAATCCTGAATGGCTTTCATAGTCTTTATACCTGGAACCTCATGTGAGAATTGTTAACCATTTCATCAGGCATTAGGATAAAGGTCTCTTGAACTAGAGAACAAATAAGCCTACATTTTAAAGAAAAATAAGCAGTTATCTGAGAACCAAGCAATTTTTCTAAAAGAGCATTTTAAACTACGCTCTCACAGAGAGACAGCCCAAATTTGTCTTACAGAAACCACTGAACAATGGGGCCCTCAAACCTGTTCCCATCCCATTAGGTGGAAGAATTTATGTTTCCTTCTGTAGGAAAATTACCTCAGCATCCCTCCAAGGCAGGGTAATATTCTCACCTCAGAAGAAGTTAAATATTGTTACCTGCTGTACCTCACACCAGCCGGGTCTTGTCAAAGGAACCAGCGCCGGAACACCTGTAGCAGAGGAAGATTAAAATGGCCATTTAGGATTTTAAAAGCTCTGGGTTCTGAGAGCTGGAGCAGAGCTGCCCCACTCAGGGACCCCTCAACCTCCTCAGGTGCTCCTCAACCCATCATGGACCTCCTCACACACACGTCATTCCCCTCAGGTGCCCTTCACTTACCCTTCAGCCCCTCATTGACCCTTCAACCTCCTCCTGGACCCTTCAGCCCCTCACTGACCCTTCACTGACCCTTCAGCCTCCTCCTGGACTCTTTAGTTCTTCAAGTGCCCCTCAATGAGCCTTCAGCCTCCTCCTGGACTCTTCAGGTGCCCCTCACTGACCGTTCAACCTCCTCCTGGACTCTTCAGCCCCTCACTGACCCTTCAGCCTCCTCCTGGACTCTTTACCTCTTCAAGTGCCCCTCACTGACTCTTCAGCCTCCTCCTGGACCCTTCAGCTCCTCATGTGCCCCCTCATGTGCCCTCCTCACTGACCCTTCAACCTCCTCCTGGACCCTTCAGCCCCTCACTGACCCTTCAGCTTCCTCCTGGACCCTTCAGTCTCCTCCTGGACTGTTCAGCCCCTCAGGCGCCCCTGAAGCCCTCAGTTCGTGAAGGAGACAAGATGGCGCCGGCGCAGTGGCGGGAAAAGGGCTCCGCGCCCCCTCCTCCCTCAGGGCTGAGGGGAGACCTTCTCCCATCCCGGCACGCTCAGCAGGATCTCCAGCAGGCCTGGAGTCGCTGCGTTTGAGGAGGTAATAACAGGGTTAGATGGAATTTTGGGCTGGAATTGTACCCAGTGAGGGTGGGCAGGCCCTGGCACAGGGTGCCCAGAGCAGCTGGAGCTGCCCCAGGTCCCTGGCAGTGCCCAAGGCCAGGCTGGAGCACCCTGGGGTGATCCAAGGGTACCTGCCCGTGGAGCTGGATGGTTTTTAAGGTCCCTCCCAACCCAAATCATCCTGTGAATCTGTGGCTTACCAGATCAGGAATTTAAAATCAGGTTCATTCTACAAATATAAATGCACCAGCAAGACAAAGCAAGTGGCAGAAATCTCTTGACGAACCATTCCGCGCTTCCTTTTTTTTTAGTGTTGGCTATAAGGGGAAAAAAAGTTGCAGCCTGTATTTTATAAATGAATCAAAATTTCTGGTTTAAAGATATTATTTGTATTGATTCACACCCAATAGTCCTATATTTTCAGGCTCTGCACAAGGCTGGCTTGAGCTGTTTTCTCCATTTATATTGAATATAAAATTATATTTTATAAAATCAATACCATTCACTTCTGCATCATAAAAAACTTTACTCCTGATGAGTAATTTTATAACCCCAAGGTCTTGGCTATTGGAAGTTTTCAGCGTAGCCTGACTAATTCTCTGTGTTGACTCTGTATTACAGGATTTTTCATTTCTTCAATTAAACAGCTGAAAATGGATCCCACCTGTGCTGTTTTATTTATTGCTTCACAAAAATCCACGATAATTATCCCATGCCGATGACAAACAGGATGCCAAGGAACTGACAGCCTGCATGGTTTTTTTTCCTTTTTAGGTCACCTTTTGTACAGTATGATCCATGGATCTAATTTTGTTTCGTAGGTTTGATGTCTCCACTAAACGGAACATGGCATTTTTTCCTGTCGGTTCTGTTGTTTTCATTATCTCAAGCTAATGAACAAGCAGAAGGCAATGAGCCTGGTGATGGGATCCTAATGGAATGGGAAGGAGAACCTGGACACTGGCTGGGAAATGCTGGCAAAGGTACAAGGCTCATTCTTACAGCCACCACTGCAATGCAAAACGGGGGGAAAAAAAATCCCTGAAATGAGACCTGTGGGGTGCCCACGGCTGCAGAAGGTGACAAACCAGCACCACAGCCCAGGGGCTCGCAGGAGCTGAGCTGGTCCAGTATCTCAGCAAGGTTTAGGTGGGACACGAGCACCTGCTGCAGCAGAGCCTCGCAGGGATCTTGTGCATGGGTAGGTCCCCACTTCCAGAGGGTTTTGTCCAGGTGGAGCTGCTTTTCTCCCACAGGCACAAAGGGCAGGTGAAACCCGACCTGCCATGTCCCCTCCAGGCCTTTGTTCCGTTTCAAAGCCACCAGAACAAGGGTGCTGTTGTGCCTCTCCTCGGCTTTGTGGGCTGCTTCCACTCCTATTTTCAATGTACATTTGGGGGGGAAAAAAAAAAAAGAAGCTGCTTTTTACTTTCCCAGGATAGCTCCTGCTGGGAAGACGTTATCAGGGCCATCGTGACAGGAGGCACAAAGGCAGGGGACAAAGTGAGACCCGGTTCTTTCCCTCTGAGATGTCTGATTAGATGGTGAATTTCTGCCTTGCAGATGCCGAGCCGAGGACTCCTTTGATGGGTGTACCTGTCTCAGGTGACACTGAGAATTCTGCCATTCACACAGCACATGGCACCTCAGGGACAGCCAGGGGCTTCTGTGGTTACTGCAAACAAATAACACCTTTTTTTGGTGTTTATAACCAACAAATGTCTAACCTGCCTTTATCCCGCTGATTTACAATGCCAGCTGATTCTCCCAGTCAAGGAACTTTCAATACAAACACCGGAGGGCATCTGTAAAAACAAATGTTATTCAACTTGTATCCTGCTTTACTCAACCTTTCCTCCTCAGCTGACCTCAAAGTGGTCTCAAAAAGAAATCAGCATCGTTATCTCCCTTGCACAACTGGGAAAACAGAGGCCAGAGAAAGGCCAGAAGAGGTTTCTTAAAATCCATGTGCCACGCAGAACCAGCTCCCCTCTCCAGCACCAGTTCCCCGCGGGAGAGCACCAGTGTTAATTCAGTGCTTTTCTGATCCAGTGCTTGATCCCTGAAATCTCCAAGTGATTTGAGCTCCCCGGCACTCCAGCGGCACTTAGCGCTCTGCCGATTCCGCCTGCGATGGGCAGAGCCTTCCCGTACACGGCTGCAAATTGCCCGGTCCCTGCTAATTAGGCCTTCATGAATAGATTTATTTAAATTACACTCATTGGCATGGCCGAGCAGTGCAAATGCCGTTTCGTAATTCACTTTAGCAGTTTGTTACGTGACCATCAGTACGCTTTGAGTTCAGGGGAAGAAAGTCCAGCACTAGCAGGGACATTTCAGAAATCATTTCCAAACCCAGAGCAATATAAAAATATTTGCTCTGTTCATTTTCTGCTGCCCACAGCGTTTACTGAGAGGGCTCATTGAATATTTATACATCCTTAGGACCAAAGGAACTGGTAAAATGGAGAGAGCAGACATGTAATTTTATGTAATTGGCCTGACTGAATGCATTAAAAGCAGCAAATTATTAAAGGTGCTCAGTGTTCAGTGGTTTTGGCTGATACCTGAACTGGCAGAGTGCTGATGGAGTGAGGATGGACATCTTCAGCAGCAGCAATGCAGGTGCTGATGCAGCCAACAGGTGCTCAGTGTGTGTTTAGGGACATTTATTCTAAATTTCTCCCAGTCTTTGTTCAGCTCTCACTCCAGCCTGGTTCTCCCCCATCCTGGTCCCCAGCACTGGAACCATCTCTGTGCTGTTTCACTGGGAGCACCACCACCTGCAGCATGGAAAAACACAACAATCCAGAGCCTTGTTGTAAAATTAACATGACCTGTGGCTGGTTCCCACCTCCTCTGGGTTAATTCTGCCTTCTTGGGGCCAGGGAGATGCCAAGACCTGAGGCTGGTGCAAGTGGCAGCAGCACGAACCTGCAGGGAGCCCAGACCCCAACATGGGCATGAGCAAACAGAACCACATGCCAGGGGCTCTGCTGGGAATGCCAGCAGCTCTCTCTGCA